TATCCTGATTGAATACATTCAAAGTCAACGTGTATGAACTCCACAAAAAATGCAAAATTGGAAAAGCTAAATAAAGACTGTCCTTCATATAACAAGCTTCGTGTTTGCCACTTTTTTATGTCTTCAAAAACGTACTTTTGATTCGATATAGGCTTACAAAGTCAAAATAGTATTATTTCTAACGTTTTGAAAGAGTCTTTTTGGAATACCAAAAAGTTTCCCACTGTTGACTCTAATTCCCGATTTCAGTGACCCTTCTGAGTCGGTAACATCCCTATCAATCTTCTTTTTACACGGATCCCCTTGCGTTGTATGGTATGTGACAACATTTTTATAGGTATAGCTCCCTGGGATTTGCACTTTCTTGTTACATGTTCGATACTGGTGTCAATAGAAAAATAAAATGATAGGATAGGCAATTTGATTCTCATTAATGTAACGGTGTACCGTCAAAAAGCAAAATCCGTTTCAAAAATGAAACTACGCATTTTTGAGGTTTTTGTTTTGCCGATTCAGTATTCCAATGTACAGCACAAACTGCATAATAAATTCAAATGGGCAAAGTGCAGCTCACTATCGTGGAGATGGACTGAAAATTACCCCACTTATCTAATATCCATGCAGGATACATTGTTCACAGGAAAAGATTATTTTGAAATTTTTTAAATTTTCACTGAAAGAAAGGTAATTTTTACAGTGATCGTATACCTCCCTATATAATGGGAAATTGGATACCCCTGTAACTTTTATATCATCATAGTATATCTTTCACATACACATTCCTAATATAGAATACAAAATTTGCTTTTTGTACTGAATTTTACTTGGGCGACAGTTGCACCGCGCTTGGTATTTAACGACGGGTGTCAGGGTGTGTCAATTAACTGATGGAGTCACATTGTTTTCCAAACAAATGAATGTAGACCTCATCTGGATCTATGCGTAGGCTCATATAAAACGTTAAATTTTTATATTCTCCCCTTCGCACAACAAATTTGATTCCGGCTCAATCCGATAGGATTCTTCTTCGAATGATCATAATTCTGATTTTGGTCGGATTCTGTCAAATCATTTTTTTATGCCGAGTTAATGGCAGAAAAAGTTGGGTTAACTCATAAAATGTTGGCCATTGGTTTTCGAAGGTTAAAAAGACTACAGTTATGTAGGTAGTATATGGACAATTTATAAGGAAAATCACGAGTAGGTGCAGTTCAGAGATAAAAGCATTATTTGGGATTCGCCATTAATATAGGAAAAATGAAATTTTTTTGAAAAACGTCCTTATATAGATGCATCTAATGAGAAAATTAATATGTGTTTTCCAAAAGGTCACATGATCGGCTAATTATTCTTCTATCAGTTTGCATCCGCGCGTGTGCAATTTTGAAATAATCCCCGTAAAGTGCCAATATAGGTACTTATTGCCGTCAATTCAAAGGCGAAAACAAATTTCTTTAACTTCACCTATTTCATGACTAATGTGAATGCATTACTACCATTATTTATTGCATGTTGGTATAGAAATACAAAAATTTATTATACTCGCGCGTTTATGTAATGTCAGGTATCTACTTTGCTGGCATTAAACGATTTTTCTCGGCGTCCTCGTAGATAATGAATGCAATCACCGGTAAGTGTAATACAACACAGCTTTAAATCGATCTTCACCTACGGGGAATATAATTTAAGAAACAATAAGCATATTTCACGAGGGTGTTGGTGTGGTGTTGCGGTGATGGTGATTTCACAAGTCAATTAGAGGTGGTTGCGTGTGTAAGCGCCATTAGGAGAACGAGCTCGCGATTCAGCTCGGATAAATGGCAATGTATTCATTATGCCCGAGCTGAGAACTTGGCCCGCTCAAGAAATATTACGCTTCCATATGGCTTATTATTATATTATTACTTAGTTATATACTTGTTTATTGGATTTTCTGCAACAAGATGATAAGTTGCCTCAAGCTCATTGATTTCGCCTACTTATTTTTAAACAAGACCAAACATGCTACGGAAAATATAATCAATGTAATTCACAGCCTGCCAAGTATGCACGAACGAACCCCCTTATTATTATATCCTTAAACCCCCTTAAAAATGCTTGTTAATTTCAGACTGTGGCAATAAATGCTAAAACGAGACTAATGGTTCGAGATAATTCCTACCTGTTTTGTTAATCAAACAAAAATTAATATATGCACATTATTTATGTGCAGCATTCCTTCTTAATTCACTTGTAATATTGATTTTGAAGATGTGTGTCCAATAGTCTATACTCTATTTTAGGTGTGCAGATTAACGGTAAATTGGCACCTTTAACCGTAACGTAAACATGTATTGAGGGTTGTATTTTTCCACCGAGTTTCGTGCCGTGTTTTCCTGGTCAATTACTGGCGCCTCTAAACATATACATACACATACACGTTAATCAACATTATTTGTACACCATCCTCATTTTCGTTTGACTGTGTGGGCCAGATTAAAATATGCGAAATTATAATCCAGTGAATAGAGGGGGGTTACCTTACAAATGGTTCGGTAGTTTATTCAACTTTATTAACAAATGAACCAACGCAATGTGATAAAAATATAGCGATCCAGACGCAGGGCTAAATAAAGTTTACTGCCATTTGGTGTCCACCAACGCCAACTAGATATAAAACTCAAGTAGGTGGGTAAATCGCCTTTACATAGGTATACAAAATTAAATAGCGCTTGAGCATAAAATTCTCTTGAATGAGTGCTGGTGACGGTTTTGAATCCAAATAAAAGGTGTGCTGCAATTTGCACGGACCGATTATAGAATCCGCGCTGGTTTTTTCTTCGATGTGGATTTGTAACTGGCTTCTTTCTTGGAAATTCTGCGAAAATCTTCGCTTCAGCACGAAGATGGCTTAATGGAGATGATTTCTGACTCTTGGCTTAATTTATCCAGATCCACCCAATTGACGGATTAGCTGACGATTGCACGGTGCGCTTTTTTATTTTATTCATTAATAATCAATTAAAGCCGTTGCAAATAAATGAAGGCGACTCAAGCAGGGTTAAATAAGTCTAAATTACGAACACCAGTTTTATACCATGCAACGTTCAATAACCGAAACACCCACAAACACAAACATTTTTTTTATAAATATGCATAATTTTCTTATCTAAACGCGTACCTGTGACAAACATCTGTTTACAAATTAAATTAAGTATTAGCGATAAGCAACTCTTATCTACGAAAGGTGAAAAAACATGAGATAAAAATCACAAATTATGCAAATAATGTTCCCTCTCCCACAACACGTAGATTCTTAACAATTAAATTAACAAAATAAACAAATAACAATTCGGCCATAAACAAAAATTAGATATCGTCCAAACCACATAAACTTTACACAAGCATACAACTTTTCAAAAAGTTATGTAAGTCTTGTCATCGCCCATGCAGCTCTCTTCACGTATATGTCATCGAATGTAGGCCTACGATTTTTTTTAAATACTTCATGTAATAATAGAACACGGCAATTTTCTTATTATAGCTGTTTTCTATCTGTTGAAATAGTTTTTGCTGCTGGGGATTTCGGGATGCACCGTCTTGGGGTGGGAATTTGAGAAATTGTTTACAAAATTAGAAGAAGCATATCTAAAACTGAGCTGTTAAATTGATATTTCTATGGTCTAAGGTTTTTAAAACAGTTAAAGCAGAAATGCTAATTTGAACTCAATTATAATCAATATTGTAATTTGCATGTCACAAACTGCCGTGTTGCCAGATTTAAAAATCTACTAGGTAAATGTTAATCTACCTAGAGGAACATTTTTATTACAGTTTTTTACTCAGAAAATAATGCAGAATCACGTAGTGAAGAGTTCTACCTATCGAAAGAATAAACCCCGTATAACCAAATTTTTCGAAACATAATAACTCCGTTTACGCCTCGCTTTTTGAACTAATAATTGATTAATTTTCTCGGGTGATTTCTCGAAATTGTTAAAATGGGCTTTCGATTGCACGTACACCAAAATTTCAACACGCCTTTTGGGATATATAAAAAGTAATGCTCACTAAATTTTCCTTGCACATGGAGTTATGCCCGAAGGGCTCACTCCCCCAGTGAAACGTGTGTTTTTGAATAAGTTTGATTTTATGAGTTGCTTGAAATAGTTCTAGGGCAGTCTATAGCACCTCCTAACATGGAGAGTAATAAACATCACATCTCTGGCATACCTATACAGTGACAATCGGTGACTCGCCGCGCTGTATAATGGTGGTAGCACTAGTAGTGATCTAAGACATAATTTTAATTAAACAACATCACCGTGTAACATTCGAAACGTCCATTTACTAAATATGGTATCCCTCGCACCGGGTTACCATTTGATTACCACATTTACCAAAGCGAGCGCGTTCAATTTATATACCGGACATTTTCTCTCAATTCGAGAGAGTTTGAACTACTTACTAGAAATGAAACGCCTCGGATGAAGTTAAAAATGAAATTATAGCGCAATTATCCTTGAAGCCTGTACAAAAACTGCCTATAAAATTTACACAAACCGATTCTCACGGTATAAATCAAATCGTATTAAATTGGTAATTAATTATTTAATGAAACTTGTTTATGGTAATGTGTTGAGTTTGTGAACGTTATGATTATGGATTCCCCTGGTGGTTAAAATATTCAATTCTAATGTAAATAAACTATCAGCGACTTCTTTAGGTATATTTTAAGTATGCATGGTGGTTGAATACCTATAGTGTGATTATATTCATTAAAATTTAACTCAGATTAGTGGTTTTCGATGTTTTGAGTGTGCCTGCACAATTATAAGGCGCTAGTATTTTTATTATTTGATTGGTTGACACGTTTCCATTCGTTTGTTTACTATTAATAAATTATGAACTTATTAAACATCTTAAAATAAATTAAGGATTAGGTGGCAAGTTATGGAACCAATAAAATATTGTTATTTCGTGTGACTGTATAGAATTGAAACAAATAAATATGTCTAGGAAACAAGTTAGCGTTATTCTATTTGTATGGTTAATGTAACTTTTACTGCAAATTGTAATAAACAATTTTTGTAAAAATCGATTTCAGTTGTTTTCGATAGGTACCGTACCAGTATCATGCAGCACCAATTAATTTTAACTCTGCTGTCGTCCTTACTAAGGATTGATTCGGCTGTAAGAAAAATCAAAGTATCGTAGGCATTTTATTTGTAATACCTACGTGTTGTAAAATCGCTCCGTTAGATGTCGCCTGCTGTAGTCCCCCATCTTTTGAAATTAAATCCCTTCCTAGTCACTTGTTTGTGCTTCTCCTTGTCCTAATAAAAGTATGATCTTGTATTCCACCAAAAAAGCTCAATAACCGACCGGATATCAATTCAAAACCGTATTACGGGCCCTATTAGTTACTACTGTATATTCCCAACAGTTTACGAAACGTGTATTTAACAGAATTATTTACATGAACACAATTCCAATAAGAATAATATTGCTGTGTCCATTGGTTCCGGCCAAAAAGAACCATACACAAAGATAACTACAATGCCCCACGTTAGGCGCCAATTAACAAGCTGTGACGCTTGAACTTCAGGTCAAATATAACGCATTTCAAGCCTAGCTATAGCTCTTTAGTGAAAATTTATTTCGGTACATACTCGACACACAAGAATGATTTTAATTCATGATTTCAGGCAGATCAAGATCAAAATCCTTAAATTCCAAACGGTATGTTACCAAATTTTGACAAACACTCAAAATGAACTTTGGTCGCGAATCAATAAAATTAAGCGTAGGTAATTGAGACTTCTCTTTTCGTCAGTAAATGGTCCGAATGAATACCCAACTCGCGGAATTTTACATAAATAAAATTTATTTTACAATTACACATGAAACCAACCAACCGCATAAACAAAACCCACGTGGGTGTTCAAATGCAAACATTACAGCTACTCTTAAAATTATATTTACAGTATTCGAGTCAAAATATCCAAGTACAGTCCGATCACACCAAACATTAATTAAATTACGGGAAACCAATACACCTGATAACACGTTTTTCTATTTCCTATCTCCGAAACGGTTGTAGTGACGCTGATTATCACATCTCGTTGTCGCAAAATACTCATCGAAAATTTGAAATAGCCGTCCGCGTTCCGTCGAGGTTACGTAACTTAAAATGTTCGTACACGTGCTTTCTTTAAATACACAAAACGAAAGCAAACTCGGCCCCGAACTTCTTTTTTAAAAAAAAGGAAAGAAAGATAAGAAAAAGGGACGAGAATAAAACTTCGCTTCAAAAACTGGCGGCAAGAGAAGACGGCAGGCTTGCCTCCGAAAATTTTACGGAAAAAGTTACTTGTAATGACTCGGCCTCGAACCTAACAAAAGGTGTCTTTTTTACACGTCTTCTGGGATTTAAACGGTTTTCCTTACTTAATATGCGTAATTACAAATTCATAGTAACCAAGCAAACCACAAAAACAGCATCTCCAGAGACACTCAAATTGGCACGTATACAATATTTCCTGGAATTACCTTATCTAAACAATTACCATCATCTTCTCTAAAATAAGCGAAAAGTTTAATAAACCAGATCCAAGTTGTCACAAAGGCATTAACGAACGCATGGGTAACTAAAAATTGAGGTACAAATATTGTGATTTTAAATGTTGAATCATGAAGCTTAAATTACCTTTAATCTTGATGGTCCACTCATTTTGAATCCTGAATCGTTTATGGAACCAATGCTAATCTTGAATCATCCTGCAATTTGATTCACCTGGAATCTGAAATTCTAAACGTTCGTACATGAATGATGGTTTGTGACTCATTTTCCATTCTGAATATTTTGATTCTTTAAAATTTGGTCCTTAAATCAGCTCGAGTCTCGAGCCTCAGTACTCCAGGGCTTGTCCCGCGAACTCTATATCACTTCTTCCATAAGTTATAGTATAGCCCGACGAATATAGATAAATGGAAAAATTTTTAAAACAGGCAACGAAACTATTCTATCCTAAATAGTTAGATACAGGATGATTCAAAATGGAATGGCATAAAACCGCTATTAATTTTTTACAAAAGGTGATTACTATGTTAATATTGATCACGCCAAGACAGTAGGTAGAGGTTGGGTTGGATTGCACAAAATGAAGTTCAAGTACTTACACAATCATTTTGGATTATGCCATTATAACATGAACAGCGATTGAAAATCATAGTCTATCTTTCATACACTGACGGATCACTTTCTAATTAACCCAACTCGTGGCAAATCACTCATCTAACGCGTGTGATATAGGTATCTCATCATTTTAATTTCAATTTACTAAATTGACCGAGAAGAAACTTTAATTGATATCTTAAATACGACGCTATAAACCACTATGACTTGTTTAATAAAATACGATGTTACGGCTATTAATTTTAAATAATCATTGCCAATTAATGTGGGTGATTTTATTCTTGATATTTACGATCACGCTTTTAATTATTTTTTATTAATACGTTTTGTACAATTAATTTATTGGTAATTAGAAAAATGTCAAAAGTTGTTTATAATAAACTGTAACCTTAAGTTTATTTAACACGTAAATACAATATAATAATAATAGACACACACGCTTTTCGTAATAGAGTCGATTGTGCAATAAAAGTTAATGTTTGCGGTTGACAACATATTATTAAAATAATTACCTACGCGGTGTTAACAATTAATCGCTATAGCTTGATTTAGTCCGAAACCTAATCTTTGTTGTTGTTTTCAGGTCCCGATATACCTGGGTTTTTACTTCAGCCGTTTAGGAAACCAAAGAGGATAAGAACGGCGTTTAGTCCTTCCCAATTACTAAAGTTAGAGCACGCGTTCGAAAAAAATCATTACGTCGTCGGAGCAGAACGTAAACAGCTAGCACAATCGTTATCGTTGACGGAAACACAGGTAAACATTTTGCATTATTCCCCCATTCCCCCCGAAACCATTTTCTTAATTAGGACCGGTTTTCAACTGCGTCATAATTTAGCATAAATCTTGAAGGAACATCGTTACAAAACATGAGATGCAACAGAGTTAAACGCAAAATAATTGGCTATTACCAATTTCTAAAGGGGTTAGCCGTCCCCCGTATGTTTATTTTCATCGACGTATAAAAGATTTAATAAGGGGACGTAGAGATGTATTCGTTTATTATTTTAGGAGTTTAATTCGTCGTCGTCTGATCGCTCAGAATATTTGTACTTTTAATTGAAAACGTGTGGGTTGCAATTTTAATCGTATATTTTAATGAAACGTAAACAATCGTACGCGTTAGGTCTGAGTTATATTTCAAATTTTTGATCCATTTTCATCGGAATCAAATAATTTATACAGGCGCCAGTATATTTGTTTTGTCTCTTTATTTGAAGAAGATTAGATTGCTTAATTCTAATTAATAAGTATATATCGCCTTTCAATCTTAACGCCTTTGCAATTTGTAATGAAAATTTTGTTTAATTTCGTTGGTGCAGGTTGATAGAATCAATTTTGAAATCCCCCGTATACTTGATTATGTAAAAGATTATTTAAATAAAGCTTAAGCAAGCGTTCAATAATTATTGCGGCTGAATGGATTGGACGGATTTGCTACGTTTTGTGATTGATTTACCTATACGCCTAAACTTAAAATGACCGATACCAATTCTATTACATTTTTTTACATTCGATTGAAAATGGCCTATTTCCAAACAAGGGGAAAACATCAAACTTTCCCACAGATTTCTACCTGCACACGCACGCAATGTTCAATTTTCTGCAAAATGTGTGGAAATATCATTAAATTGAGGCAAAGAATACCAACAGAAAGAACGAAGGGAAAGCTATATACTTTGTACAAACGAATTTATTTCGATGAGACCTTTCATTAGAATACCATGAAGGGTAGACCGCCCCCCCCCCCCTCAAAAGTTTTACTTGGCACCACTCAAGGCATGCGTATGCAAAATCTGAGATCAATTGATTGTCGTATGTAAAAGTTATGCACGTTTTACTTTCAAAAAGAGCATTTCAGGAAATAATGCATGGGGGGGGGGGTTCCTGGAGACAGTGAATTGATGGCCGTCTGGCACACCTTTAAGGTATAGTCTACCTACTGCAAAAAATTCCAGGACCATTTCCCTAGAAGTAGTTCAAAACGGCAGAAGAGGGTCCGGACGGACGGACGGACAGACAAAACGCAAACAACAGCACATTTTTTTTAATTTTTAAAAAATGCGCTAAAAATTGGGACCCCTCTAGGTTTCACGGGATCATTTCAAAATTCAAATCAATAATAATACAGCATCCGTTTTGCCGCAATCAATCGGTCCGGGGACTATTTACTTTCCAGATTGTGGACTATTTGGCCACCCGCCCATCCTTTGCTCAAACGCCCATCAAGATTACATGACACTATGTGCATCTAAAATTTTGATCTTTACAACAAATCATCTCTGTCTCGGTCTGATGCGTTTTCAGCGAAACAAATTTATAGATCCGTATTTCATATAAAGAGAAAAGTAAAAATATACCTAGCTAATGAAGTTCCTAATTTACATAAAATCTTAGAATTGTGTCATTGTACGTATAATTCAAACTTCTTGTGCTACGAGGAACGGTTTGGCGTCATTAATGGTCACATCTACGGATGATGTCGTTAGTGTTAAATCAAACCGGCCCTATTTTAAATCGAGATTTGGTCCAATAACTTAGGGGTTGGTTAGTCATTATTCATTTTGCTGTTAACCAATCGTACCGGGTATTGTATGTATTTCTGTAATGTCCTCACAAACAATGATTCTATTCATTCATCAACTGAAGGGGCCCTTCCCCTTATGCCACATTCACAAATTATTTGAGCGTTATTGGTGGACTGCGTGACAAAGGGGAACTCATCGTGTGATTATGAAATTAAAAGAACCATTTATTTTTATTTATAGTACAGAAGAGTTTACTAAATGTGTAATAAGATGTGAGATGCAAAATGAGTGAGATTTTAAATTCAGCATACAAAATTTCATTTCAAGTAGCCATTCTAGTTTAAGAAAGGTACCAACGTGACATTTTCGCAACAAAAATTTGATATAGGTATCGATACCATCCTACGTTTAAGAATAAGTAAATCGGCAATTTAAATCACGAATGAGTGTCATTGATTTTTTCGTTTCTGCAGCATACCTATATATACAGAATAAAATTTAATTATGCAGTAGGTACAATTTTAGGTAGCCTATATTTTGGTAATTACTTTGTGTAATCCCGGAATTAAACATGAGCAACATACAGTGTGAAAAGGCATTATTGTAATTATTTCGGTTAGGTACTGTATATATATATATATACCTATATATAGAAAATCCTGAAACACGTCATATTTAAAACCGATGCTATTTTACAACGTGAAAATGCGATTCCTACATTCAACCCTGTTCCAGTGACAATTCCCACATGACAAAATTGTGCAACATTAGCGTTTAATAAACGTTTAATGGTGACTTGTAACGTTAGCGTATAAGTACCATTAACTTACTATTAACGTCACCGCGACTGCTATTGTCCGCCTTCAAGAACGTTTCTCTGTAACGTCTAAATACCTACGTTTAGCAAACGTTACATCATATAACACTTTATAACATCAGCATTTAACGTTAATTGAACGTTTGAAACAAACGCCAATGCGATGTAACTCTCTTATGTTGTATAAACGTGGTACAAAAATGTTTATTAAAGAATACTAAATTACGTTTATATCATCCTTATACATTGACGGTTGGTATTATTAAAGTCATATTTACTATGTTGTAAGCTAACAGTGTTGTTAAGGAATGTCTTAACAACACTGTTAGCTGACAACAAAGTTAAGTCTGGCTTTATAATACCGGCCGTCAATGTACAAGGATGGCATAAACGTAATTTAGTAATGTCACAGATTGTGTACTTTAATAAACATTTTTGCACTTTGATACTAAGTGCACAATGTAAAAAAATTCAAATTCAAAATAATTCAAATAATTTTTTACCAGAAATTTAATGTATAAAAAATTATTTCATTCACATCAATCACTTCACAAAATTGTTAAAAATGTCCCACCATTATAAAGAATGCACAGTTACACACATATTTTCATATCATCGAAAACTCATTCTAACATTACTGGTGTAATGTTCATTAGTTCCTCTTCGATTGCATTTTGAAGTTCCTCAGTGATGTGCAGACGATTTCGAAAAATATTGTATTTCAAAATCAGAAAAAAAATATAACGGGCTTAGATCTGGAGAACGTGGTGACCACACAATCCTCTGCTAATTAATCGATCATCGTAAAACTGTTGTTCGGCATCATGGAGTATTTGTAAATGGAAAATAGGTACCTTGTAGGAAAACGTTGGATATCAGGAAATTCTTGATAGAATTGCTGGCGACAGGACTGAATGGAATACGTCCATGTTCCATCCTGTAGACTTGCACTTCGATAATGTTCCTTTAATACGAATGCGTCATGTTTTGGTGAAAAAGACATTGTGGAAGATTCTAAAAAAGTAAAGTTATACATCCATAAAATAATTTACGTCTTTTACGTACTTTTACATACTGCTAACGCCTAGGAGGAACCCTGGTAGAACTGTTTGATTTAAAATAAAAAGATGAGTACAAGGTGGAAAATACAGAGAAATTCAACACGTAAAAATCGCCGTAAATGGATAGCTTATTCCGCTTATTTGTTGAAGTCATTGTCGTTCATCCTTGATGAAAAAAACCACAATCGCCAATGTCTAACCCAAAAAACTCCACAATTTTTAAGCACTTAATTCAAACTATCCTCCACTTATTTTGAATCACATCACTCAATTCACAGAAAACCAACATTCAACAAACATGTTAAACTGCAAATGAAGATAAACCGAGTGATGAGTCACCGACCAGCTATTTTTTTCGTTGCGCAATGCCCAAAGGCACATTTTTAACATTACAAGAACGTTACTGTAACTGTGCAACTTAACAGTACCAAAATGTTGTTGTTGTAATGTTAAGCTTTTAAAAGTTGAACTAACGTAGTTACGTATGGTTCCGTCAACGTACGCAAATAACATCACATTCCTTAACATTATAGTGACATCGCAACAAGGTTTTGCATAAAAACGTTGTCAAAGTAATATTGGTATAACGTTAGCCTTCTGAATGTTATTTTAACGTAATAATGTCCCGTTCCAGCGACGCAAGTCCAAAAGGTTACAATTTTTAACATTACAAAAACGTCGTAGAAAGAAAAGCCATTCAAGTATCGTTGGTATAACGTTGATGTTTTGTTTAATTGAGTTGTTTCAAAATGCAACATTCGTTTAACGTACCAAACGTTTTTTTAACATTGCTTGTCAAGTGGGTTATAACCCTTAATTTTTTGAATGAAAGGTATCTGCTTGTCATATATCGTTTGAAAAGTTGCTGCATTCTCTATATCCAACTGTTTTGTCTACAAAGGCGGAAAAGTGTGCGTTCACCGGGGCCTAACGGCTCGCCTCGTCACTTGTCGAGTTCCGGAAAACAACTTTCCCACCTTGGTGCACCCTTTATTAACGAGCTCCTAGCGAGTTTATGATTTCCGTTCGTCCATTAGCACGATATCTCGAAAACCGGACCGATTACGATGAAATTTTGCATCAGGTGCAGCATTCTTTATAAAATTCGGACTTCGTGAATGTAGGTAAAAAAATATGGAAGATATCTCCGTTAGTTTCTCAATGAAATTCAAAATGAGCATAGCTTTAGCCATATAATAGTATAATACGCAGATATTCATATATAATAATCAGTGGCGGACTGGCCACGCGGGATACCGGGAAATTTCCCGGTGAGCCCCTCCGATTCGTCTGGGGTGGCGCACAAACAGAAGATAATGCGGAACGTATCGATTTCAAGAAAGTGCATTC